TCAAGTCTAAGTTGATGTCAATGCTGCCAATAGTACTGGGTACACATTTTACTAAATAGCTGTTCGGTAATGGGTCTCTGTTAGTCTTGTGTTATTCTTTATAATGATGCCATAGATCTTGCTACAATATTTGAGAAGGGAACAGTAAAGGATTTTCAGAAGTATGATTCGGACGGTTTATGTGGTCTTTGTTAAGCCCAACAACCACAGCTCTTTTGGCCCTCGTTATTAGATACTCGGCCCGAGTTAGAAGTAAGCTAACGAAGCAAGATGGTTTCTGACTTAGTGACTGTGCCGTATTTGATTGGGTGTCTAAACACTGATGTATCCGGTCGCAGGGCATTATCAATGTTGGTAGGCACATGCGGGGGTCATTCGCCTCTCAGGTATGCTGAGAATGTATTCGAACTGGTAGAGACGATTTGAGTTTAACGGGTATTCCAGTGACGTCAGCTGACGAACTTCTGTTTGATTCGCTTTTTGCTTTCACCCCACATAGTTTCTAGTTTGCAGTGGCCAACTCTCCGGGACTGTACTGTAAGATTGGCTGCACTGCAGTGACGCACACCATTTCTTTAATCTATAACTTTATGTCTTGTCGTCTCTATAAGCGGCAAGCTTTGAAAAATTACGACTTATAACAATGTCTTCAACAAATCTTTAGTGGCATTTCTACTATCGGTGATACAGTCGCCCAGATCAATGAATCGAGCGACAACTTCAGACTGCCTTTTGTTGATAGGACTGGTGGTGAGTCGATCAATTCATGTAGCAAGTGAGAAGCACTTACCAAAGCGTGCAGCGCTACTCGTATATCCCTCAGCTTTTGATTGGATATTAGGTCTGTCTTAAGGGGAGCTAGATTATACAGGCACTTAAATCGTGATATTTGGTTATGAAGCGAAGTGTGCTCCAGGAGGGTGAAATGGGGTAAGAATTGTTCTTGGAAATTTCGATCCAAAATTAAGGAAAAATGAAGAAATAGGACGACCCTTACAAACCCTACTTGTGATAAACCCGGGAGAGTTTCCCATCGACCGTTTCACTACCACATAACTCATGGGAGGGACGTCCATCACGACAAAACTGGACTTTAACGGATGCGATGGTTTGCGTATGTTTGCAACTCATTAAGCTACGCCGAGTGACACTTTTCAAGTGTCCATAGTCACTCATTCCAGACAGTTCACTGGTTAAGAGCCGGATCAACGCAATTCCAGCATCTTCGGAGTTTGGGTAAAGTCGATAGCTGTATTCTTTTAAAACAGCCATCTGATGAATCATAAGCTCTCAGCTCGATTCGATATGGGAGTGCGACTTGGCCCTTTCGGTCTGATGATCCGAGGCGCCTTCAAGTGTCTGATCATCGCTTTTTGAGAAGTATTGCCAGTGTTGGGTGGCACCAGCGTGTCCGCAACAATGATACGCGTAGGTGAGTGCTAGGCAATGATACCCAAGCTAGTTTGCTCTTGACCAGTTGTGAGCAACGTGTATATGATATTCAGGTCTTGGAGCCCCTGGGAGCGAGTGACCACTTGATGATGGTAGCCAACTTAGAATTGCTTCTGCTGTATTCTGTCCCACTGGAGTCAGCTTTCAACTATTGGAAGGCGGAATTTAATTGCCTCACTCGACCTGCGAATCAGATGGACTGGTCGTTACCAAAGGATTTGTCTGTTGAAATCTGTTGGACTATCCTTAAAGAGGGAATAAAATCGTTGCGGGCAGATTTGTACCCCTCAAATATCGAAAAATTGGGCCAGTCAAACCACATTGGTTCGACACGAAGTACAGCAAACCGGCTCGACGGCGGCGCAGACTATGCAACAAATTCGTGATGTCTGGCTCTGAGGAAGATTACAAGGCGTACAAGATACAGCGAAATCTCTGCAACAACGCGAACTCACAATCGCAGAAGCTTCGAAGAACAGCTTACAGCCGCAGCCAAAACTACTCCCAAGAGGCTCTACGCCTACATGAAGCTGGGCATGAGGCCTGCAAGCCATGTGCCAGTGTTGGAGGACTCAGATGGACAGCCCCTAACGTCGAGCACAGATTGTGCGTCCGCATTGGCGGCCCACTTAGCTTCCGTATTTGTAAGTGTCTAGGCGTCTATACCGAGTTCGGCGGATACTGGCCTCGCTGAACTAGACAGCCTGGATTGCAACATTGAAGATGTGCGCAAGCTGCTGGCAAGTCTTGATGGGATGAAACCTTCCGGGTCAAATAGAATCCATACACTGATCCTCAACTTTCTATCGGCTATTATCTCGCCGTCTGTGACTGAACTGTTCAACATGTCCCGATCAACTGGTTCATTAACGGGCGACTGAAAATGCTCAGCCGTAAAGCCAATACCGAAAGGGGGTGACTTAAGCAAAGTGGAAAACTACCAGCTGATCTGCCTTAACACTGTTTCGGCAAAGACTGTCGTCCAAGCATTTACATAAATTGCAGGGTCGGGTCAAAATTTTCAGTTCAGTACTGTACGCGTCGACGGATCCTTTTGGGCCTCTTGCGCGAAGAGATAGCGTTGATAGGTCTCGTTGGTTTGACCTCCACAAGTTCACTGAACTTTTCAATTACTGTCTCCAAATTATTGGAATCTTCGCCTTTGTCGTAGTGCGATATCTCTGGAACACGGCACGCGTCATCCCCGGCTGCGTGCCGAAACATGGTCAAGCGTTACACCATCGGTTGTTTGTCCAAACGTACTAAGGTGCAGAAATCCATCCACTTGCTCCTTCATAGACGCCAATTATTTGCCAAGTTCCGTTCATCCATTATCAAAGGGGCACGCATCTGAATAGACGCTGGTGATCCAAACAGCATCCGAGCGCCGCCGGTGGGGTTCGTCTTTGTCTTCTCTGACATCATGTTGCAGAACTCAGTCCTTCAGGGACAAGCTTTTATTCAGCAAAGACAACTCGGCATAAATTACAGCACATTTGACAAGCCAAACTCCTCGATATAAGTCACATGTTCACATCCATAACTAACAACCTTTCTGAGGCACCGAGATACCTCCTTCGACTTAGTTAAACAAACGATGATTAATTCACATGGATGTCGGCCAATGCATGCCCAGCAATCAAATCAGCTACACCTACCTCCCATTGGCTACCTGACTCGATCGGTTGGCCCGTCCGTTCACTCTGGTATGACAATCCTATCACAATTTGCTTGTTTGCTAAGGCTCAATCACGTACGTTGTCTAAGTTATGTCTTCCGTATACTTTTTGACCGCCATCGATGTGCATTATACATCATCTTCGTTCAAGTTGGTCAAAACATCGAGGTGGCCAGTCTGTGAAGTGGTACACGAACATTGAGCGGTAGACTTGATTATGCCGGTGGATGGATAAGGTCCCCGGGATGGTTCACACTAATGGCTGAAGACTATCGGTCAGAGCCCATTCGCGCAACTAGTGGCGTTCCTCCTTTCGGTTTTTTTTATCTAGCTGTTTTGCTGCATAGCTTCATGAAGGCTCTCTTGTGCATCACCAACCTACTGTTGACGAGGCATGAATGATTACAAGCACTGAACCAAGATAAGTCGGTCAACCTCATTTACATTGATTTCAGTAAGGCTTTTGACAAGTAGAATCATGCAGTGCTCCTTGACAGGCTGAAGGTGTGCGGTGTTGACGGCTCGCTTCACCATTGGATCAGGAATATCTTTGTTGATCGAAAGTGGAGGGTCCAGGTCGATAACCATCTGACCGGCTGGTATCCCTCGAGTCGTAGTGTGCCCCAAGGCACTGTACTGGAGCCTATTTTGTTCCTGATCCATATAGACGATGTGCCTCAGCTTCTCCGTTCGCCTTGTAGGTTGTCAGAAGATCTCTTGTAGGTGTGGAGAGTATGCACACAATCAATGACTGGAACCTGCTGCAGTAGTCAGACTTCCGATCAACCCGGTCAAGTCACAATTCATGAGACTGGGTAAATGTGAACACAGTCGAATCTACACGGTGGCAGATCAACCGTTGCATCCCTCGCCTTTCCTGCGAGACTTCGGTGTGCTCTCACGCTGCGACCTAAAGTCCATGGACAGCACGAATAGCTTTTACCGAAACGGCCCTTTTATGCTTTTGGCGTTCAGGCGCAGTTTCAGCACTTGGTCCGAAGAGATTGCCACTCGCCTCTACAACTCAATAATACGACCAATGCTAAGGTACGGCTTTCTGGAGTACTGTCTTATCATAAGGGGCGAGGTAGGAGGGATTGAGCGAGTGCAGCATGTGGTCACCAGGCTGATTCCCAATCTACGAAGTGTACCGTACGAAGACCGGTGTAAAAAACTGGGACTTTACACCCTAGCTTATCGTCGACTGCGTGTTGACCTATCATGACGCACTGGATACTAAATCTCGGTGATTACCTCATGTTGAGATCGCTGGTGCGTTTGCGCGAGTCAAGCAGCACACGAGGACGCTGGTACAGGCTTATAGTACCGGATTTGAAGCGGGTCGTCCTCCAATTCTGTTTCGAACGGAGATTGGTGGATGTATGGGGGCAACCTGCCGCGGCACGTAGTCGAGGCAAAGTCTGTGTCGGAAATCAATAAATTCCTGGACAAACACTTTGCTGATATAAAATATATCGTGCGCACACTAATATGACGGGTTTTGTATCTGAGTGATATTAGATGTAGCTACACAGCGATATCACTTTTTGCTGTTTCCTAGTAGTAATCAGTAACCACACCCGCTTCGTATGACCTTGACACCGCAAAGATGCATAATACCTCACCAACTGTTTTTCAGGCTCCGCTGACTATGAACTACCACATTAGCCATGTGGACCTGAGCAGTGATTCCCGTTGTCGTGACTATCCTCTTGTCAGTCGAGCGAGTCATGCAGCTAGTGTCACTGAGGGTATTGCACAGATTCTTGTTATGTTGTGTCGTTTTTATTTTTACGCACGCTGCGTACTGATCTAGTCACTCCATACCAGCTCTAATCTTAACCCTTTTCTTCTCTATCCCATGCAACAGCAACCGCGGCCAACGGACGTCTTTTGTATCTTCGCTGGGTCTTTGTCCAAGGAAAAACAGACGAAAACAAGTTACTCAACACACCGGTCTTGCTTTGTCAGGCCATGCCTCACGCGGTAGACGCTTTAGGAAAAGGTCGATGTTCCGATCCGCATTGCTCTTAACTTCTGGCACCGGCAAACGCCTAAAGTCTGACAGAATTCGTGGTACCCCAACTAAACCCACTCCAAGCCCATCAAAACCTACTTCTCTAAAACGCATGGCGGACAACCCTATTGCTCCCAGGCGGCCTTCACGGGCGTTTCGTGGGCGCCGCGGTAGGGGTTCGCGTGCTTCAACTCGTGCATCCATTCCCTCTTGCTCCTCAAGGACATCTGTTCGTGCTTCTACCCGAAGAACCTGGCGCAGGGGACGTAAGAGAAAGTTTCCAGGTCTTACAAGACCCGTTTCTTTTGTCAATCGTCCGCATTCTGGTGATGTCAAGAGCGAAGTGAACACTTCAGCAATTGATCCGCAAAACGAGACTGTTGTGGGCATTTTAAAAAATCAGGAAGTACATGATGATACTCCTTCGCTCCGTCCACGGAAACGTCCTAGTTCTAGGATTGGTTCACCTTACATTTGCAGCTTCTATCCTCGAAGAGGGACTCGTACGATCAATAACATTAAGGCTGCCGATGATGCTCCCCTCTCTTCCAAGCCTTCACCACCGATCAAACAGGAGCCTTTCAAATCTCTGTTTCTCAACAACTTCCAGCATACTCCAGGCAAACGTAAGAGAGGTCGACCATCTTCACCTGCAGTTTACTTAAAACCCCCCGTTAGTTCATCCTCGGTTTCATCTGGCACACGCAGTTCCACACGTCCTGCTTCTGTGTACCGCAGTTCTGCCACTATCGTTCCATCTTGTGCTGCCCCAAAACATGCCATCAATTCTGCTCATCCGTTTCCTGCCACACCTAATCCGTCCGCTTTGCTTCCGGATGATTTGAGATCACGCACCGGAGACTTGAAATTCGGATCTGCCGATGAAGTACTACTGGAGATTCTGCGAGAGGTAGACACCAATGGTTGTGTTCCCAAGGTTCAAAAACATTCAGATCTCTCTCGTTCCAATATGGCGATCAGTAAAGATGAGTCCATTTTCGAATCGGAAGCCAGTTTTATCTTTGATACTCCTCTTGTCGCCACGGTTTTTGACAACATGCTTCGCCCCACTGTCGCTTCACTGTTTCGACTTGAGGTAAAGGATTTATTTTTGGCAATAAATGGGCTGGTACGTCCCGGTGTTTGCGATTTGTGGAGACGTAGGCGAGAAGAAAAAACTAAGCAACTCAGTCGGAGTGTAATGGGGCGACTGCGTCCCAATCCTCGTCCTCGATTGTATTCTGACATGGTTATTTCGAGTAATTCTGGGCATAGCAGCAGCAACCTTCATATGAATGTTCGTCATGCCCCTCTGGAGAGCAGCGTTCTTATTCCGGATAAAGTGCGCCAGGGATCCCGGTCTGTGGCATTAGCCGCCGCACGTTTAACTGCAGCTAAACGATTGATAAGGGATAGGTCCCGCCGGCTGGTTGGCTCGAGCAGTTCGGTTCTACTGAAGAGGACGAAAAGAAGTCGAACACCCAAAGTGGAGACCAGTCCTCCGAGTAGTCCTCAGATTGAATCAAAAAAGATCCGTGCTCCGCGCAGTACCTCTAAAATTTCGTCTCAGACAGCCATTAACACGCGAGGTCGTCGTCGTCCGGACGTAAAGCACCATATTGACTGGAAATTTTGCTACACTAATACAGACCAAGAAACATTTCCACTCACATCCTTTGGTACGACTCTATCTCATCGTCGCCGCAAGACCGCAGGGTCCGCCGAAGTCTTACGATCAGAAGATGCAGCTGAGTGTCAGCGCAGCTCACCTGTCTTGGTTTCCGAAGGTACTCTCTGCACTGATTCGGAAGAAGGCAAAAGTGTCCTTGAGGCTGTAGAAGAGGAAGCGAAGGAACACTTGATCACTCCGGAAGTTGCTTTAAGTGAAGTAGCTGAGGATGAAACGTTGGAGAAGTTGGAGCTTGCTGACTCGCAAATTGATGCTTCTGCCTTATCATTTCCCTCTGGTGACGGAAGGCGAAAACGACGCCACGCTCTTACGGTGCAAAGGAAAAGACCTGCTGGTCGTAGCGTCGGTGGATTTGGTTATAGGGAGGCTGACGCTTGGAAAGACAAGTACAGCTTGTCCACGAAATTTGAGGATAACTCATCCGTCTCTTCCTCAAGTATATCTGGCATCCCGAATGCATTCAGTCGCGTGTTTCGTCAATCTAGTTGGCTCCACGGTGAACATTCCAAAAGCTCTTTTTCAAAGCATCTAAAGTTTCACGGTGTCCGCCCGATTTCTTCTGCTTTGCTAGGGGAATCCAGATCAACGCGATCATTGGGTGTACACAAAATTCAACGTATATCTGCGTCTACGCTGGCTCCCCGTCGCAACCCGTTATCTGTTCGCGTAGCTCCACCGGTATCTCCCCGTCAGCGCATCACTCGCCGGCCCGATCGAATGTGCCAGTTAACTCTGTTGGACCGCCTAGTTTTGGGCCTCAATTGCAGCGTTTCTCGAAACGGAGGTGAGATACACATTAAACAATTACATGCCGAGGAACTGAATATTTTAACTCAGCGGATGAATAAAACCGGGTTTTTCATTCAATCTCTGGCTCTCCGAACTAATTCTCACAACGACGCGGAATACAATCTCGTGTTGACGTTTTCGCCCACTGCAGAAGGTGTTACGCGCCGCACACGATGTCCTTCGTCAACGCGTTCCAGGATAGCCAGCTCTGAACATTCGTTAGACTACCCCTCACATTCCTTTACAGAGCGCATTCCTTGTCGCAAAATAAGAGAAAGGAGCCGATCACTGAAACACTTACGATCCTGTTTGTCTGGAATTGCTGCCACAAAAATTAGACCAATTAGTCCAAGACAATCTTCCCAAAACACTGGGTATGTTAGTGATTCAGCAGCTTCATTGGATCGTCCTCGAAGACGTTCTTCCGCCACACGTTTTGTACATTCAGATGGCGAAGAATCAGAGCCCGTCCGGTGTCCTAAAATCCTGCACACTTTAAACATCCGTAAATTGGATGCGCAAAAGCCTTCGCAATGGGCCTCCACGGGCAAACACAACAAAGTAGCTACCACCACCATTAAGCTTGATGGCACTGGTGGAAAGTGGTCCCCGCGCAACTTAGATTCACAAACACACATTGAATCTGTTTCTTCACCATCGAATCGACGCCCGACAACGTCACACGCCGAACGCTTCCTTGTTCCATCTGAGGGTACTAGTGGCCATAGACGCCCTGCCATGCTGGCCAAAATTCGTCAAGATAGGACATTTGTTTCAGAACCTCATTCAGGTGCGCCGTCCCCCTCCGTTACCACGGGCAGTAACTCTTATGGTACCTCAAAACGCGCATCTAGAGCAGCAACCCCTGTTGCCTCGGTTCTTCCTCCATTTCGTCGGCACAGTCCTCGTAAAATCATTCGAAAAGTGTATACTGGCAGCCTTACAATTCCGAAGATTTTGAATCGCAAGCGCCCAACCGGCGGCTCCCAACCTGCTCTCTCGGTTCCTTTGTGCTCCTCATCCACCGCGGTTACCAGTGTCCCTGGGCTGGCATCTTCTTCGTTCAGCCAGCATGTTCCCACCGTGGTGACTGCTACCCCATCCACTTCTACTCAGCTCTCCGGGGTTGTGCATTCTACAAGCAGCAATACTATGTCATCTGTTATATATGAAGATTCTAACCGCGCTTCGCCTGCTTTTTCTCAGTCTTTATCATCCAGTATTTCTGTGCAGTATCGTCGTCTGCCAACTGTGACATCTGCAGCAGTTACATCTGAAACGCCTACTCTGAACTATAGCCAGGCAGGCGGGTCACCACTCACCCTTACAGCCACATCGGACAGAGGATCGGTTGAGCTTAGTCGGCTAAGTGGTGCGCCGTATTCTCCACCGCATGTGGTCTCAGCTTCAACGGCAGCACCTAACCCTCCACCTTCTGTGACCACCGAAAGGGAACTGGGAAGGATCACGCCTTTAACTTTCCCTGACCATGCTGCGCCTATGCAACCCTCACCATCGCCATATATTGTTTCTCCTTCGCTGTCCACAACACGTCATACCGGCGTCGCGGATCACGATTCGTCCCGAGACCCACAAATGCACCAAATAAACCTGGTAAGTCTCTGTGCCTTACTTCCTCTGTTTAACTAACTCATCGCCACACGTTCGGCAGTCAGATGCGGGTTTTACACTCTCACAATATGCTGATACTTGCGCGTTCTTCAGTGGGTTATGCCCCATGGGGTTTGTTTAAGGCTATAGGCCTACAATAGATGTATACTGCGTACTTTTTCTGTTACATCTCAAGCTAATCGCGTTTGTGATCAACGTGAACTTCCTTTTTTACCGTTGCACCTGTCCAACTGGAACTAAACCGGTTTCATTGTTTTGTGCTTGCTAGTGCTAGCATTCCATCCACTGTTCTTCGTTACCACTATTGAGTTTGAATTTCATCTGGTCTGCTTATCTGAATCACTGTTTTCCCGCTTATTGTGTTCCTATATGATCACTTGGCTCTTGGTGCTTTTTTCCTCTCTGCCTGTTCGTGTTTGCTTGGATCACTGCGTTTGGTTCACTTTACTTCCGTATTTTGTGATGTCCCTCCATTTCTCTGCTTCCACTTCTACCCACGGGGTCAGAATTGGTTAATCCCTCATGGTTTGTAATACCCTAAAGTTATACACCTCTGGTCCACCTAGCTCCGTTGGCGGTACATCGATAATGTTTCGGTAATGAATCTGCGTTATCTCCACTTCATCTTCATATCGTTTTTTATCGCCTTCGTTTATCTTGTGGATTATATCTGTTGCTGCCCAACTTTTCTCATCTCATACAGTTACGAGTCTTGGTTGTTTTTTGTTAATTCGAGTGTATCCTCTATCGGTACACTTCTTCATTACCTTCTCACAATGTGTTTTTCCTTCAATCTTTTCCCAATCCTTTTCGCCTCGGTTTGCACAATACTGTTGTTCCGGTTTAGCCGCATAATGGGATGTGCTGGGAGCTTCACAATTCATCACGGTCTGTTTTTAATTAGACTGTTTTCTCTTGGCAGTGAAGGTGGCCTCCGGACAAGGTCCACTTGGTGGCTTATAGATAGATTTTTGTTTTTGAGAACCTTCATCGCAATTAGACAGCCACCATGTAAGCGACAAATTTGCTTGGCTCTCCAGCAACTCGCCAAACTCCGGGACAAATCGAAACATGGCCGAGAGTTAACCACGCCGCTATTAAGATACATATCAAAGCTAAATAGGTCCATATCTCATCAATCCCCAGTAAGTATAGAAACAACTGGGTCTTTACAAGACACACAAGAAATATAAATCGCTGTGCTTTCCACGATACATCAAGATCACAGAACTCAGTCCGCGAGCGAGATCCCCAGCTCTTTTATCGGTTCACATCATTTTACCCAGTTGGTTCGGTGTACAACGCACAGAGGAACACAATGCGTTAGGTTCTTCAAGGGAGTTGGGAGTACTGTGTCTCGGGTCGAATGTGGTGCGAAGTGAACTACTGGCGGATGTGACCCTGAGGCGAAAACGAAGCTATGTTGGCATATGTGTTTGACGCCTGGGGCAAATTGCAAACTTTTGGAGCGAGCAATTTTGCCAACGAGTGTAAGAATGAAAACATGAGAGCGTCGAATAGAAAAACACAGGTAGTATGACAAATAGTTGGTGGACCAGAGTTTATCAGATGGCGCAAGTGTCAGATGTAATTATCCAGAATACGAGCTCGATATCCAACTTGCAAATTCTATGATAATTTTCTCTGTTACACACCACACATCCAAGAAAGCGCCAGACGGCTGTTTCCACTTTTTAGGACTTTTCAGTAGCGAACACTCACCAGATCCGAGTCAACGATTTCTGCCACTGAGCCATGGGTGTCGGCAGCTCATCCTCCACTGTCATGCATGTTATACGCATGCAGAGGACAGGGATGACCCCCGGAGCTACGATTACTTTTACCAGCTGCCACTAATCGAGGTGACATGTGAGCTACTAAGGCGATTACTGATGTTTATTACTATTAGCGACTTACACGCCATCTCGATTGGAGGCGGCTTGTAAACTTAGTCATAGCTCTGGGGCTAGCGCTGCCCCCTGCATGTTCCTAACATGCGTAACAGTGGAGAGTGAGCCGCGCTATATCGCAGATAGCTAGCAGCCATGGCGGTACACCATCCATGGCTCAGTGGCAAAAGTCGCTGACTCCCAAGAGTAAAGTCATGGGTTCTAACCTGGCAGGGATTCACGGGTGCGCACTACTTACGAGTCCCAGTAAGAGGAAATGGCTGTCTAACGCTTTCCTGGATGTGTGCTGGCTGTCTGTCCAAGTCTAGCTGCTAGGATTCTTCTCAACAAGAGTCCACATACTCGCGAAATTCGCGTTTCTTTTGTTAACACTTGTCTTATCCACACAATCGCGTTTACTAGCATTTTTGTTGCGCTCCTTATGCGTTTCCCCATGTTTCTCGATATGTTAAGCTCACACTGCTCATTGATTCCTACCTGTGACAAGCACCACCAACGGATAGCGTCCCAACCCATCCCCTGCCCCGAAGATGCAGTGACGGGCACGCTCGATGCTGTGACCGTACGACGGGAGCTATTTCGAACACCACTCTAGTTTCCTGGACCACATCATTGGAATCATCGTTTTATGTATGCTGGAGCTGAATTGGTGGGACGTATCGCTCCCTGTCGCCTTAATAAATCCAATGTGCCAGCTGTACGCCGTAACGGCGCTTCGCTGCCTCACGGCCACCACCAGTCGCGAGCGGGCTGAGTAAACTGCGAGGACGCTTACCCCTACGCGAATTCAAACGGTGACTTTATGGTTACAGACCAGACACGCAGACCACTCGACCACCGGCCGACCTCTTATGCCTTTTTGCTCCTACTGTGTCCCCTTTGAGTGCTACAGTTTCATATGTTCACAAAATTTCTGTTAGTCTGGCGCTACCACTCCCATTGTTGAATCCTCGAAGTTTTTATTATCGACGACAACGATGAGTTGCGCCGTCGTGGTATCGGTTCTGAGCCCAGGGTGCTTCATTTCATACCGCAACTGGATCAGGCTTAGCTGTGGCCTTCAGCAAGTCTAGAACTATTCTCACTCCAAATTTCGCATATCAGAATCGCTGGGTAAATGCACTTACGCTTCAGGGGCGCGCTGCGTAGTTACATTCTCTAAGCCACATCATAGTCCTGTGGCACATTCATTTGGATCCGCTTACTCAGACACGGCAAATTGAGTTGATGCGGGCCCCCTACGAAAACACCAATGTTGATGTCTACAGACCTCCATATCTTGTTTTTACGATTATCTGATTAGTACCATTGATCGTGCAGCGTGAGTCTCTTCGGACACTCATGTGAATTGACGCTTTGTCGAGGTTAACCCAACCCATTTTCGAACGCACTTTGTCCGAAGGAGTTCTACTCCAAGACACTTGAAAACACATACGGTTTTGTAAACTAGAAGAAAAACGGAGAAAACATTTCGAAAACGGATAGAGAGTTGTTTTTTTAACTTTCCGCTACCTACCTGATAAGTGCCTCTCCTGTTCTCTGCTGTCGCAACTTCTGTATGTCTGAGCTCCTCGTGTTTCTTTTTTCCATGTTGCGGATCGGAGAACACTCACTCGTGGTCAAACACAAGTGTTCTCACTTTACGTTTCTTTTATCATCACCTTTAGGGAGGACACGGGTCCGATCGTATGGTGCTCCCCCAGCAAATGCATCAGGTTTCACCACCTGGTCTCTCAGAAGGCTGTCCCGCGACGGCCATTCCTCACGTAGCTAGAAGCATCACGCGCCCCTTCTAGGAGAGGAGCTGTGTAGCGACCTGAGATACGGTGTGTAAAATATTATGAACATATAGTTGCACCTTGTACTTAGTCAATGTAGAATGCTTGCCTGTTACAACGTCGACTACATGTGTTTGAGTCAACCAAGCGGGTCGCGTTTTCGGCTTTCCGCCTCGAAGGGTGTTCGTGACGTCTGTGGTGACGATTCTCTTTCCTTCCCTGGCTAGAATCTTTTCACGCTTCTCGAAAGTACACATATATACCGATTTATTCGTTTTCTTGCGGCTTTTTATGTGTTTATAGCGACCAGTCGATTGCGCCAGAAACTGTTTACTTACCCAAAGATCTTTCTACCAGATGACTAGTGATTTAACAATGTAACAAACCAACACTTCTACAACGCGGTTTGTCTTTATCTTTTCTCGTCACCCTCTCGACCTTTCTGAATTCTACCGGCTAACACCTTTGCACAGTTGCTCACTGTGTGATACTATGTCGTTTAAGCCCCTGGTTACTTAAATACTTATTACCTTAGGACAATTGTATTACGTCGATTCTTGACTAAAATGGCAATTCTCTTCACAGGACTACCTCAATTAACAATTCTGGGTAGTTTTGCGGACCGGGATTCTGTTTTAGAATACTACCTCGCGGATTCGGTTACCACGTGTCGCACCACCATCATCCGATAATATCACCGAGTCTGCTCAAATCTTACAATGTCTACTGGGGGCCTCCTGCTAAACACAAGCCTGTCGTTTAAAGTTAGCACGTAGCACAGCTGTTCTGTCTTTACAGATATTTTCTGTAATTCACTCTTTCACGCACACACACGGGTATAGATGCAAACCAATTCAGGACAAGTTTACATGAAGCTGTGCCTATATAATAGATGTACACGTGTGTACCATCACGCCTTTGCTGACCTACTGCCTTAGTGGCGGCGGTATGCGCAGCATACTCCTTCTCATGTGAACAGTGTACTACGTACTAGTCAGGCACTGGTAGGGGCCAGCTTCGCTTGTTTTCTCATTTATCAACCGCCTGTGCGTTGCTGCATCGGATCACGCGCGGTTGTTCATCGCTGATCCCCAACCAATTGACTAGTGTGTATCAGTTTGGCAATCTTTATATTAATCTCACTTTTGTAGCTTTGTACCGTTCCACATCTTCAATCGGGACCATGAACACTCCATTGCTGGCTATTACATCTTCAAAGTGTAATCGTGATATTCCTACCATACATGATATTATGTCAACTTCATGCTGAGGTTAATGTTGCATACATCATGTT